CAGATTCATGTGGGAAAAAAATATAGTCGCTGGGAATACATAAATATATATTCTTTAATTTCATTTCGCTTATAATCTGGAAATCGAACAAATTTTCAATCGACTCGCTAGTTCCGTCATATTTTTGAAATACTTCTGAAGAGATATGGACATAAATAGAATAGAAAATAAAAATACTCTTCAAACTTAATATAATCAGGATCATATTTTTATAGAAATAATACAACATTATAGTCATTTACAAGTATTCTACAACGATTAAAAAATTCATACTCTTTCAAATTGTTTTCTAAAACATTAGTAAGGTCTTGTTGATCATAAACAAATATCGATGAACAAACGGGATCCTCTGGACAAGAACCCACAGTTGGTCGTTTTTTATCACCAACTAGTTTAACACATTCTTCGATAATCCGCATTGCCTGCAGATGCGAGAGGTAAAAGGAAGAACGGTAGGATAACGGTGAACATAATTTTAGGTTCGTATTAACAAGTTTCATAAATGTATACTTTTATATAACCATTTAATATTTGTCGTAATAAACGTCTGTATTTAAAATTCAAAGAATGAACGAGAAGAAAGCTGAAAAAACAAGTGACATCAAACTTAAAAGACAAATATCGAAGACCGAATATTTCTAGTAGGTTATCAGATAATTTTTTTCAGAATGAAAGGAAATTAATGCTTATAAGCAATCCTAAGTTCATTCAACGAACAAATACTATTTATTGAAAGATGGAAACTGAATTTTAAAATTTTAAATTTAAATTTAAATTTAAATTTAAGTTTAAAATTTTGAATGAATTGGAAATTTTGAAAAAGGAATGCTTAAGGAAAATAATGATTTTATAGTGGATGTATGTGCTTAGATTCCTATCGAAAAAACTACCCAGAAACGGAGGATTCCTTATAATACTCAAAACTTGCTCAAATTTTACCATAACTTGAAAGTGCTTCGTGAAATCCACCTATATCCGTGGAACACCATTAAATTTCGTACCTCTAATAATCACCCTCTAAGCGTAATTCTTCTTACTCACTTTCAAATCTTCTACTACGCCTTTGCATCTTCCATTGACGTGATTTTCTTGCTGGTGGAATGAATTACAATAAACACCATAATCGTTGTTTAAAATCTTGCAATTTTATCAAATTTAACTATTGATTTCATAAATATTTATGATTGTAGGCTATAAGTGAATTATAAATTCATATCTCTTTAGTGCACTGATTCTGGAAATCGACTAATGCGAAGAGTTAACATCTCTCAAACGTGTGATACTAGTAAATCACCTAGCCCTAATTCTTTCCCACCACATGCCTTCTTTATTTGACCGTGAAAGCCTGTAAGCTTATTGGAAATGCTATTTAATAATCATGATTGGTAGTATTGGCACAATATTCCTTCCATTTTAATAATCATCACTATTATCACTATTATTATTAACACTTTATTATATTTTTATTAATATTATTGCAATAATAATAATAAAATGTACTATTGAAATCCATAAATTATGTGAGGAATTAGCCGCGCTTCCGTTATTGGAAATCACCGGAAATATCGGAAATATAAATAATAGTTGAATGTTATATAATTGTAATAGAGGACAAATCATGCAAAAACAAACTGGCTTATTTCTTTTAAAAGCATTCGGTCTTCAGTATGAACAGCTTTTGGTGTTAAGTTTGATGTCACTTGTTTTTTCAGCTTTTTTCCTCCTTCATTCATTGAATATAAAGTTCAGACGCTCATTAAGAACAATTATTAAATAATTGTATAAAAGTATGCGTTTATGAATTTATTAATCAGAATCTAAATCTATGTTCGCTGTTATCATATCGTTATTGCTTCTGCCCCTCACATCTGCAGGCAATGTGGATATCGAAGAATGTGTTAAACTAGTCGGAAACCCTGCTAAAAAACGACCAACTGTGGATTCTTGTCCAGAGGATCCAGTTTGTTCATCGATATTTGTCTATCATCAAGCCGCTCCTAATGATTTAGTAAACAATTTGATGGAGTATGAATTTTTTAATCGTTTAAATTACTTGTGAATGACCGTAATATTTCAAATTATTTTAAAATAATATGATCTTGATAATGGTAACTTTGAATAGTATTTTTATTCATATTTCTTATCTCTCCTCGATATCTCTTCAGAAATATTTCAAAAATATGAGGGAACTAGCGAATCGAATGACAAATCGGCTTGATTGCCAGCCCATGAACAGAATGAATTTGAAGATTAAATTTATGAATTTGAAGATTATGTGTTATCAATAACCACATTTTTTTTCCACATGAAGCTGTGGTGGAAAACTTAATACAGAAATGGTAACTGGTGGAAGTCCCTTATCAGAAATCAGCAATTTGTTGCAGGGATCAAGATTATAAGATTCCTGAACTATGCAACAAGGTTAAAGATTTCGCAGCAAGAATGTGCCCGAAAACGTGTGCGATGTGTTGTAAAACGAAGGAATTTAACTGTCACGATGGTCAGTCGTTTTCTTTTATTTTTATTTATTTTTGAAGAGAGCAAATCGTAGGAGTTCCATTTGTTTCCTTTCAGTCAGTCCCGATGCATGCCGAAGGTTGGATAGAAATATTTGCTTAACTGCGCCTAGCGTAGCACTATCGATGTGCCCATTTACATGTGGCCTTTGTCACAGACCAGGTGCTGCTGGAATGTGTCCAGATGAAAACGAAAATTGTGCGGCTATTTTCTATTTGGACCCTACATGCAGTACGGATTTCATGAAGAGATCTTGCAAGAAGACATGTAGACTAACGGATTGCTTACCAGGTTGATTTTCGAGTTTCGCACCACAAGATACATTTTCTGCTGTGAATGTTGCAGTCATCGATGGATAAAGAATTTTTTCGGATAATAGCAAATCATTTAAAATTTATTACTTGTATTTAGGCATATATTCAAAAAATCTAACCAAGACCTTTCGCATTTCAGGTAATTTAACTTCGTCAACTTGTACTGATCTACACCCTCAATGTCAAGCGAATGCCCGGTATTGCAATATAGGCGACTATGGAGTTGTGATGAGTCGAGTTTGCAGATTAACTTGTCGTCATTGTACTCCTTAGAATCATATTTTAATCATTCTACACCATTATATCTCATTTTGGTATCAAATCAGAATAAGTAAAATAAATGAAAAATAATTGTTAATTGTTAATAAAAATAATAAACAATTATTTATTCTTTATCGTATGTGTATAAATTATTTAGCTCAATATTAGCAAAGTTATCATGAATTTCATCTGTCAAAAGATTGAAGGAAACATCTCCCACTGGTTTCATTTTTCATCGTTGATTCGAAAGAACTATTGGCTTTAAGCAGAAGTTTTTATGTAAGGGCAATTTGCGTAACAGTACAACAGTTATATCTAAAATCTCCGCTGCGAAACTGAAATTGAAGTTTTTGTGGTTTGATCTTAATCGAGGAAATACCAAAGTCTGTGGCTTTCTAGTAGAGTATAGAATCTTTACTGGAACTCTTTATTTCATCATTTCATCATTTTTAGAAAAAGCTTCATTTTATATAAAATTAGAAAATTAAAAGAGAACAATAATACTAAGCGCCATCAAAAGATAATATGAGAATATCAGATATATCCATAGAGACTATTAAAATAATGTATTTCGCGGATTCTGAAAGAAGTCGACGAGCAGTTTAACTCGTTGTTCCACTTCCATCTACTAAGACTTTATTACGCAAATGCTCACTGAAGGTGAATGTCGTAGAATAGTAAAGGAACTCACAAAGTGGAGCGAATTCATACGCGACATGCCTTTTTGCCGCCAGGAGAAACGCTAAGAAATTCGAAGGAATTTACAAGTTATCACCGAAATTGTACTAGCATTAAATTTTAAGCATTTTACAAAGAGAGGTGCTTTAGAGAAGAATAAAATAAAAATAAAAAATAAAATAAAAATATTTTCTAAAAAAAACGATTTTTTTTAATGATTTTCCAAAAGAGTTCCAGTGAAGATTCATCGTATACTCTGCAAAAAAGCCATAGAGTTCGGTGTTTCCTGGATTAAGACCGAATCACCACAACTTCAGTTTCAGTTTCAGCGGAGGTTTTAGGGAGAACTATTATACTGTTGAGCAAAATTGTCCTTTAAAGATTTCTACTTAAAGCCAATAGAGCTTTAGAAATAATTTCATATTAAAAGTAGAACCGATGGGAGATGTTTCGTTAAATTTTTTCATAGCGTTTATGATAAGTTGATATTGAACTAAATAATTGACTTTGCGAATATGGATACGAAAAAATATATTTTTTATTTTGATTTGATTCCAAAATAGGATAATAAGATAGAATTATTAGAAAAATGATTCTAGGGAGTACAGTGCTGACAAATTAATCTGCTAAGTCTGCTCATTATAACTGCATAGTCGCCGATGTTGCAATACCTGGAATTTTCTCGACACTGAGGGTGTAAATCAATACACATTGACGGCGAAGTTGAAGTTGAATTACCTGGAATGCAAAAGACCATAGTTAGATTTTTAAATATGTGCATAAATTGTCATGAGTAGTCATTAACTGAAAATATTAAAAATCGAAAAAAATGAAGGATTTTAACTTTAATACTGGAATTTATGGCAAAAATATTGAAAATCAACCTGGTAAGCAATCTCTAAGTCCACACCTCTTTTTGCAAGATCTCTTTATGAAATCCGTAAATCCGTATAGGATCCAAACGGAAAATAGCTGCACAATTATCGCTCTCATCGGGACATATTCCGCTAACACCTGGTCTATTACAAAGACCACATGTAAATGGGCATATCAATAAAGCGATACTAGGTGAAGTTGTACAAATATTCGACCCATTTTTTGGCATATATCGGAGCTGATTGCGCAGTGGGCTGTCGCTTTTGTTTGACGCGCGAGTACGGGGGTTCTGGTTCCGGGGAAACAATTCCAACTTCCGTGATTCGCTCTCCTTGAAGTTAAAAATAAAAGAAAACTGCTGATCATCGTGAAAGTTAAATTCCTTCGATTTACAACACATCGCGGAGGTTTTTGGGCATATTTTTGCTGGGAAATCCTTAATCTTATTGCACAATTTGGGAATCTTATAATGTTCATTCCTATAACAGATTGCTGATAGGGCGCTTCGAATATTACAATGGTATTCGTCTCTTATAGATTATTATGGTCTGAAAATGCAAATAGGGAACTACCCAAGCACTTTCAAATTCGATTTTGTCCCAGTTAAGAGTCGACCTGACGAAGGAATATGTGAATCTTCTCTTTTATCGCGTCATTTTTTGAAACTTTGAAAAAAATATATTTACAGAAATTATTGTAGCGATTTTAGTCATTCAGAAGTACTTGGAATGTAAGGGCTAAAAAATACATACACATTAACATTGTTTGCTAGATCTTCATCATTATTGTCGTAAACAAATATTGATGGACAAACTGGATCCTCTGAACCACAATCCACAGTTGGTCGTCTCCTAAGAATATTTTGAGCATTTCCAAAAGTTTAACACATTCTTCGATATCCGCATTGGCTGCAAATGCCAGAGGCAGAAGGAAAAATGTTAGAACAACGGCGAACATAAATTTTTTAAATTCTGATTAACAAGTTCACAAACCCATACATTTTTATAAAATTTTGATATTTGTGTTCATAAGACTTCTGCATATAAAATTTAATGAATGAATGACGTAAAAAAGCTGGAAAAACAAGTGGCATGAAAGTT